ATCCCCATCCAACCTAAGCTGAGAACCTCATGTTTTTTAAGCCTAAGGTCTCGCTCGATACTCAACCAAATCACATGGATTTTGATCCTGTAGCTTCATCTAGTCGAAACGAACACATCCATACGGTTAACAACATATAAAAAACAAGTTCACTTCACAATTGTTGAAACCGAGCATAATTTTAGGGTTAGTGAGCTATACCTTTGCCCAAGAGTGAGGTCTTGATTGGGTTGGTTTTAGACGTTCGTTGTGCCTTACGAAGCTCCTCCAAGAGCCAATTTGAGTTGAGGTTGAGCCTAGGCAAGAGTTCAATCAAGGGTTGATTCGGGTTTGGTCTCAGAGTGGGTTAGAGTGCTCAAAGTGAGGGAGCTTCAATGCATAACTTCCTTGTTTCGTTTGAGGAAGCTTTTGGAGCAATAAATTTGAAGTTTGGTGGATTTTGGTGGAGTGACAAAAAAAAGCCCTAGATTTCAAGCTTGAAATTAGGGTTTTATAGTGGGGGAGTTGGCTGGAATTCGATTGAGATGAGCTTTGGAGGGTCCGGGGAAGCTATGAAAGCAATATGAAAGGGTCTCCCAAAGGAATTGACAACACTCTCTCAATGGCCGAGAGAGGGGTGGCTTAAATAGCCCTGGAATTAGGGCTTAATTGGTCAAGTCAGGGGGTGGAGAAGGATGCTTATGGAGGGCTGAGCGACACAATTCACCAATGGGAGTGAGCCACATTGGATGGGTAGAAATTTGGGTTTAAAAATTGATGACCTTATTAGTTTTAGGCTTTCCAGCGATTAGGCCATCCAGCCAAGCCAGGTGAGGTGGCTAGCTGGTTCAGGGAAGGTCGGGGAAGGTCTAATGGGGTAGAGAGCTTAGCTAAATTTGGGTGGAAGGTTGCATGATTTGGGGGACCCTTGGTCCATGGCTCAAAATTTGGTTCATGGATGATTTGATTAGCATCCTAGGGGTCTTAGCAATGGTAGAGATGAATAGGCTTGGTTAAACCAAAATGTTTAAGTTAATTTAGAGCTTAGTCTTGAAATTAGGGTTTGGGCTAGAAATTGAACTTGAGCTTGGCTTGGGCTTGGTTTAAAAATTTATTGAAGGGTCCAATTAGTCTAGGTGGATGTCATGAGGAATTTAGGAAGTGAAATCGGGGGAATTGAATTGATTGCAGGGATTGATTTAATGAAATTTTGGTCTAGAGTAAATTTTGGGGCAATTGGTTTGGGCTTGGATTTAGGTTAGGTTGGGGTTTTTTTTTAAACCAATTGAGGGTTTAAATTGTTCTAGGGGAATGTTATGAAGAGTTTAGGATTCAAATTAAAGGAATTGGGTTGGTTATGGGGTTCAATTTGATGAAATTTAAGGGTGTGGTCAAATTAGAGATTTTGGCTCAAAATTGAAATTAGGGTTTGGAGGTCGGTTCAATTGGGCTTCAAATTGTGGATAAGTTGATGTACAATTTGGGTTTGAAATTTGGTGAAATTGAAATGAATTTGGTGGAAATTGGGATTGATTTGAGAAATTTGACAAGTTAGGGGTAAAATTGGGATTTTGGTCAAAATTGGTCGATTTAGTCATATTTGGCAAATATATGGCAATTGGGCAATGTGTGGAAGTTTCAAATGATCTTTGAGATGAAACTGGGTTGAAAATGTGTGGAAGTTTCAAATGATCTTTGAGATGAAATTAGGTTGAATTTCGGCAAATTTTTGGGTATGAGGGGTATTTTGGTAATTTTGGGGAATTTTAGTAGATTTGGTGAATTCAGGGTAATATGGCCAATTTGATTGACTTGGAGTAGTTTGATATGATTTTTCAAAAGAATTTGAAGATTTGGGCCACTTGAAAATTTAGGGTTCCAGGGACAATTTTGTAATTTTAGAGAAGTTAGGGAGTAGAAGGCCAAAATTGGGTGTTTAGGTGAAATTAAAGACCATTGGATATGCTAATCATGATGATTACCTTATTTGAATCATGAACCAACGGGAAAACCATTTTAGATCCTCCATGTGTTGATCCTAGCTACCCTAGCCAAAAGGCTAAGAGCTTGCAGACCATCCACATGATTTTACAAAAGAGCAAAGGGAAATAGGTTCAATGATTGTATTTTAGAAAAGAGGAGGAAAGAAAACAAGTAGAAACTTGGAATTCAGCTCAGATACCTATAAACGTCTAAGCTTCATGATATATAGTGAAGTTACATCAAATAATTAGAAAGAAATAAATAGATAAATAATTGTCAATATCATAGTACAATAAAATAGAAAAATTATTACTTTCTTTTTTTTCACTAAACAAGAAAATAGTAAACATCTCACTTAATTCTCTTGTTTTGTCTTCAATAAATTCAGCAAAAATGCAAGCTGGTCAAAGAACTTGTATATTTCTTAAATATGATCTTTTAGATTATGACAAGAAACACTTTTAGATAATAAAACTCCTTGTTTGGTCCATGAAGGCATGCGACCTGCTCATATTAACTCACTTTTCTATATTTTTCTGTTCCCTGCTCTACTTTAATAATGGTAAATCTTATTATATATATATATATATATATAAAACTTAATTGACTACAAGGCTACAATTGATAATTAATTAAAAGTATTAATGAAGAAAATAGAATAAAAATTATTAAATTAGATTCAAATGATGTTTTAAATCTTGTCCCAATTCTTAACATCTTATGACTACGTGATTAGGATTGTTAAAACGACTTTTTGTTCGTGAACGGCTCGTGTTTGGCTCGCTAAGCAAACGAGTCGAACATCAACACACTTTTTGAGCTCAAAATATAAACGAGCCGAACACGAGCTGAGTTGGCTCACTCGTGTTCAACTCGTTTACACCCCTAATTCATAGTGTATTTAGATCCAATAAACATGATATAAACAAGGGACATGACACAAAAAAATAATGCAGGAAAAATAATGATAATCATAATCAATACATGTATAAATAACCCATGTGCTTTCATTAGCGCACATCAAACAAAATTAACAAATCAGTAGTGCACATGCGACCAGCTCAGTTTTAAACAGAATGATTTTACCTATCCACCTAATTTGCTATTTTGATATTTTTCAAGGACTAAAATGAAATATTATAGGTCAAAAATACACACCACCCAAGGTATGTAATGAATTGATTTAGAGTTCCAAAATTCATGATTTTAGGCCCAGGACAAAACACAATGGCATCTGTCAACTTTTCCCTAAACAAAAAAATAACATTTTTAATATTATGTTTTGTAAAAATATATAACAATTTTTCACATAAAACATTCATATTCGATTAAATTGTATATTCAATTTGGTTAATTATAAAAATAACCTGCCAATTTGGTTTGAAAAATTACAGTTTCTAAAGTAAGTTGAACAGAATGCATTTCTAAGTAAGAAAATTTTTATAAAAAGTAATTTTCAAATTATAGAGCTATGGGGCCAACATCAAAATCCTGAATTTGAAGTGAAATGTAACTTACATTCCAAGTGTTGAGGAATTAGGACAAAGAGAAACAGGGATCGACATAAATTCAGAGGAACACACAGAGATTTACAAATTGACATAAAAATTGCAACAAAAATTTAAAAAAAATGATAAATAATAAAGTTAATCCCAAATAAACTGTAAAGTCAATAAGTTTGTCCCAAATAAACTGTCATAAAATCTTTAATATTACATCAAAAATATTTTTGCAATTAGCTTTTAAAAATTAATTACCCAAATTTATGCATAAATTTACAACACCAAACTCTTAAAACTATAATGTCTAACCTAAAATTTACATATGTTCGTATGTAAACTTTTCTTGAAAAGAGTGTAGAACTGCATATGTTCCTAAAGTTGAAGCAGGCAGCATTTGAAATGTCCTGACTCGGCCGGCGCCAACTTCCTTTTATTCCACTTCTCTTCAATTTTCTGCTTCCACTTTTTTTTTTGAGCCTTCCTTCACCAAAGATGAAACATCATGACCTTTACATGCAAACCCTTAAATTACATCTATTTAGATATCTAACATTTATTTTTTTTTTAGTACAAATATGGACATACATAGAAATTTTTTATACAATTTAATAATTTATTCTTTTTATAATAAATAATTATTCTTTTGAATAAATTATTCTATTGGAAATAAAGATAGATTTTTAAAATATATATTCGCAAAATTTTTTTTTTTAAACAGTAAGTTTTCTTTTTCATTTTTATTATTTTAAATGACAAATGTTAAGTTTTCTTTTTCATTTTTATTATTTTAAAGGACAAATGTTAAAAAACATAATAAATTGTTTAAATACTATTATTATTATTAAAAATATTGCCTTTAATAATATTCATAATATTAGTTAAATCATTTTTTTTTGACATTATTTTTTACTAAAATAATATATAATTGAGAATTCCTAAGAAAATGTCTGGATTTTACTAGCCATAAAATATGCTAAAAAAACTATAATATTTTAGATATTTTCTTGTAAAAATAATAAATAAATTAATCAAAATAAATAAAAAAATCCTAAGAAAAAATTTTGTAATTATACGGAACATCTTTAACTTATCAGTTTGTACTCTCCCTCTCCTTCTTACTTGTTAGAATCTATCCACTAAAATGTTGGGCTTATGTGGGCTGACCCATATTACTTCATTTAGACGACACTTACGTGGGCTTTTCGCTCGATAGCAGATAGTTTAAAATCACGCACTGGGGTTGGGCCAGCGCGCACTCGGCCCATGTTAAAAAGAAAGTACTCTTAGATAAATCAATAAAAATTTTGGGTCATTTACATATATACCATACAATTCTTATGTATTTAGGTAACTAACCTCTAAACATTCATACTTACATGCATACCAGTTAAATCTTCAACATCACCCCAGAAAAATCATCACCATCATAAAGTGCAGTCTACATTTTCATGCATAACTTTATGACACCAAGGTGTTATGTGGTATAAATATCAAAAATTGAGTGTTAAACATTTAAAAAATAAAAAATGTCTGGTATGTATGTAAATTTCCCTAAAGATTTAGATTTCACCCAACAACTTTAAATAGAAGCACATTTGCAATTCTTCTCAACCAATGTTCGCTTTCTACAGTGCAATCCAAACCCATTTATATTACAAGTTAGCAGGCAAAAACACAAGCTACAGCCACCCATTCTACTAGCATCTCTTCAGCAACACAAGAAAATAACAATATCAAAATCAACCTGATTACAAAAGCCAGAAGGACTAAGAAATACCTGATTCATTATCATCATCATCATCTCCAACATCAGCCTCCTTCACCTCCTGAATCATCTTCAGGACCTGCCACGTGGTCGGCCTGCTCTCCGGCGAAGACCGAACACAGGCCGCGGCAACATCGACTATCATCCTCAACCGTTCATCATCACCCCCTTCATCATCTCTCAACGAACGAACCCATGTTGGCAGGTCTGCAGAAACCAGGAGTTGGTGCTGCAATGGAGGTTTCCCTGTGAGAAGCTCCAGCAGCAGGACCCCAAAAGCGTAGATGTCTGACCTAGGCGTCAAACGCTGATTCGATTTACGGGTTTCGGGAGCTCTATATCCCGAATCATTGTTGCCAGGAACGACTGGATCGATAAGAAAGGAGAGACAATTATCGGTGAGGCAGGCTTCGAAATCGGAGCCGAGGAGAACGTTTGATGATCGGATGTTGCCATGGATTAATCTGGAGGCTTGGTGGATGTATGCAAGGCCCTGGGCAACATCTTCTGCAATCTTCAGGCATGATGTCCAGTGCAGAGGCTTAGCTCTGGTTGATCTTGAACCTTCAAAGTTAAGACATAAAAGACATGTTCATTTCTCATATTATGACTTGTACAAATTTTAAAATGGGGCATTTACATAATGACACACAATTCTTATAAATTTACACACCTAACGCCAAAACCATACCTTCTATAATTATACAACCCATATCTTTCATATGACATAAAAATATCACTGTCTTAACTCTTAAAAAGTGAAAACTTTTCATGTATAGGAATAGTGGTATATAATGTAAAAATTGAAGATTTGTTGTTAGACATGTAAATACTTAGTAATTGAGCGATCTGTATGTAACTCTTCCATTTTAAAATTAACTGTAACAAGGTAGACTCGAGCTCTGAAAACTCAAATTACTATGGTCTGCTCTGATCGGTCTTTCAGATGCTTTTGAACGATCAAAGGAATCTGTCACAGTACAATTAAATTGCCAAAAAGTAAATCTTTTTAATAGTAACTTTATATGACAGTTCTACAAACAGCCAATTTTTTACCAAAAGAATAGTAACACTTGACACAGAAGGGTAAATTCACAGATGATAGTAGTCTTTGAAAATATATTGCATCAGTTTATCATACACACAATCTGACGTTATTGTTAGTTCCATGTAACAGCTTAAACTTTCTGAAAAAGTAAAAAGCAGTTCAAATAATTTCCCTCCAAAAGAAAAAATGGAAATAGTTTTAAAATCTATGTAATTTTGTCTCTACAATATTGGTGAAAGGCAAAAATAAAAAATAAAGATTTTGGGGTCCCGAAGCCTTCAGTCTTATTTGAAACACATGCCATCAATTTGAGATTCCTTGAATTTTAGAAAAATGACCTAAAACATCAATAGCTGCAGGTATACATTTTTTATATACAATCGACTCATTAGTTGGAGAAATTTTTTTAGAATCAATTTTATTTCTAATTGGCATGAGAGCCTGGTTTCAACAACTCTACCTCGACATTTTGATATGTCAGTTTAGGACAACTCTTCATCCAGTTCACAAAATTCTGAAATTGTCATTGCTATTATATATTTCCTGTACAAGAAATAATATTTTGTTCCTTTTCGCTATTATAATTATATACGTTTTGTTTGTAAAAAGCTTCTGCAGGCTGTTTTTGATAAAATATGAATGACATTTGTAGGCTTTGGTTGCATATGCATTTATCCCTATGGGAATTAAACAGCTTGCTTTGCCTCTTGCTGGTGTCTGTAAGCAACTGATGGTACCATTCACTTAATTTTTACCAAATTCCAAGAATAGATAAGTTTCAAGTTGTAATATTTATGCTAAGTGCATTTAATCCAGCAAGCAACTAGATGATGAAAATTATAGCCTGAAAAATCCAGTAGATAGATTTCACTCCATTAGTTTTGTTGAGAACCTATAAAATTAAATTATATAAAAGTTTTGCTGAAAACAACTTACTAGCTAATCTATATAGTGAAATAACATTGCGACACTATATGTGTAAATATCTTAATCATGTGTTCACATCATCAGTTAATTATATATAGATAATAAATTTTTAGTTGTTCAAGTTTGTTGAGTTTTATAAATATAAATTTATGTTTATGTATACAATTCAAAGTGAAATAATTGAGCATAGAACTTAACGTCTAAGTGATTTATATTATTTGAATAATTAAAGATTAAACACAACATCCTAAATTATGAAAAGCATATAATTAAGTTTTATAAATCACATAAATAAATAAATTTAAATTAATTATATAAATACAGGAAATTTTTATTTCGCAATATTTTTATTATATTGTATAATTAGTTAGGATAAAATATGAAAATTGTATTTTTTCTAGTTCACCCATATGGATTAGAGAAAAGAACATAAATTGATAGTTTAATCATAAATATCTAAATGAATTTAAATGAGTTAGAATTTTAGCCCACAAAAAAAATTTGTCAATAAATTTGTAACCATCGAAAGCATGATTTTCATTAGTAAAGCACAACCTATGCTTATTAGCCGCAAATTGTTGAGATTGGTGGATCCCGGTCCACTATTGATTAAGGCAGCAAATTAAATTGTTTCTTCATTTAATTTCTTCTCTAAGACTCTTCTACAGTTTCCTTAAATGGAACCAGCCGCCAAACTCTCCTATTTTAGAATAGGGTCCAGCCTCCTGTTTGATTTCACGAATTAAAGCTTTGCAGAAGAAATTTGACTTCCTTAATTTCTTGATGGGCTTTTCTATTTAAAGCTACAGGAGTGAAGAATCAATTCTGGGGATTTCTCGGTTATTGCTTTTTTGGTGAGATCAAGCAATTGCAAGCAGCCGAATTCCTTGACTTATTTTCCCAGCAGATGCAAGTGTATGTGTGGCTGACGGGTAAAAACAAAAGGGATCGCAGAAGGCTTAGTTCTTCAGCAGTTGCTCTCTTGGAGAGAGAGAGGCAGAGAGAGAGAGAGAGGCAGAGAGAGAGAGAGAGAGAGAGAGAGTTCTTTCTTGAAATAATTAACGAGGTCGCCGGTGAAAATCCTCATTCTAATAAAATCCTCTGCAACACCGTAAACATAGACATTTTGTTGAACCATGTAAATCTGTGTGTTTCTGTGTTTTCTCTTTTGAGAATTTCTTGTTCTAATTTTTTGTTTTATTGACGTCATTTTTCACAATAATTGGTATCAGAGCCAAGATTCAGATCTGAGGAAACACGATGGCTGGAGATGAAGTGATGGTATCAGGGATCGAGAAATTTGATGGCACAGATTTTGGTTACTGGATAATGCAGACAGAGGACTATCTCTATGGGAAGAAGTTTCATCTTTAGGTACTGATAAAGCGACCAGAGAAGATGGATGAAGCTGATTATTTGGAATTTTTTGGATCGACAGGTTCTGGGGGTTATTTCATTAACTCTGTCGAGATCCGTGGCATACAACATCATCAAAGAGTGGACGACTGCAGATCTCATGACAACTTTGTCGGCGAATAATAATATACACTTGATGAAAAAGTTATGTAATTTGAAGACGACGGATAGAATATCTGTGACACAACATCTGCAAGATTTCAACACCGTCACAAATCAATTATCGTCTATTGAAATTGATTTTGATGATGAGATACATGCACTGATATTGTTGGTTTCATTGTCAACTAGCTAGGAAGTCATGAAGATGATTATTTGCAGATAAATCTTAACTGAAATATGATGATATTCGTGATTTGATTTTGGCTGAGGTGCGCAAAAAAGACCCTGGAGAGATCTCAGGTTTGAATTCAGCATTGAATATTGATTCTCGAGGAAGAGCACCAAACAAGAACTCAAACAGAGGAAGATCAAAACCAAACTACAGAGGCAGGAGCAAGTAAAGGCCTGGTCAGAAAGCAACTTGCTAGAATTGTGGCAAAACTAGTCACATAAAGAACTGTAGGAATCCCAAGAAGGAGAATGATAGCACAAATGTGGTAATTGAAAAAGCACGGGATGCATTATTGTTGACAGTTTACAGTTCTGTTGATGATTGAATATTGAATTCAAATGTTTCTTTCTATACATCTTCCCACCGGGAGTTAATGTGAAACTATGTTGCAGGTGACTTTGAAAAGATATATTTGGCTGATGAAGAAATTCTAGACGTGGTGAGGATGAGAGACGTTGATATTGCACTTCCTAACAAGAGCAAATTGACTTTGCAAAAGATTAAACACATTCCTGAGTTGAAGAAAAATCATTTATGTTGGTCATTCAGTAGTGTTCTCAGATAGCACTTCGAAGGTTACCAAATGAGCATTAGTATTTGATCAAAGTAAAAAAACTGACACAGTATATATGACTATAGGTTTACGCGATACTATTGCTACTACAGTTGCAAATACAACGACAAATTTGTGGCATTGCAGGTTTGGTCACATATGTCAGAGGGGCATGAAATAACTTCAGTCCAGAGGCAAGCTCTTAGAGCTGAAGTTAGTTGATCTTAGTATGTGTGAGTTGCATTATGGGGAATCAGAAGAAGATTAGTTTCTTGAAAAGTGAGAGAGCGTCAAAGGCAGAAAAACTGAAACTTGTACACATATATGTGTGGGGACCTTCTCCAGTGAAATCTCTTTGAGACTCTCGTTACTATGTCACGTTCATTGATGACCACAGCTGGAAGGTATAAATGCATTTCTTGAAGCATAAATCAGATGTATTTAATGTGTTCAATACTTGGAAGGTCATGGCTGAGACAGAGACTAACGTAAAACTGAAATGTTTGAGATCTGACCATGGTGATGAATACATTGATGGTTGGTTCAAGAAGTATTGTGCAACTTCAGGGTATCAGAATGGGAAAGACCATTCCTGGGACACCAAAACAAAATGATATTGCGGAGCGCTTGAACAGGACCATTAATGAGCGGGCTAAAAGCATGAGATTGTATGTCGGACCATCACCAACTTTCTAGTCATAAGCGGTCAGCACTACAGTTTACCTGATCAAGAGGAAGTCATTTGTTCCATTAGATTGTAAATTGTCCGATGAGGTCTAGAGTGGGAAAGAGATCAAATTTTCTCACCTTAAAACTTTTGGCTGCCTCTTATGTTCTTGTTAATCCTGTGGCTCGTAGAAAACTCGATGCTAAGTCAATGAAATGTTATTTTACTGGCTATGAAGACCTGGCATTTGATTATCATTTCTGGGATGATCAAGACCGGAAGATCATAAGAAGCAGGAATAATGAAAAGACCTTGTACAAGAACAAGTCTGGTACAGTTTCTGAAGTGGCTCCTCAGGAATCCAAGATGGTAAGATTTGATGATCTACCAGAGGTCAGTGCAGGATAGTGATGGAAGTAATGAGGAAAGTGGGTCTGGGGCACCCATTCTTATTGTTTCGCAGAAAATTTCAAAGTCGCCCACTCCTGCAACTACAGTTCACAGTTCAGTCAAAAATAGACGTTCTCCGCAGCGTTACTCATCAATCTTGAACTATATTATCCTGACAAATGACAGAGAACCATAGAGCTATGAAGAAATCTTGTAAGACATTCAAGCA